TCGCCAGTCCTCTTCCACTCTCACTATTGTTCCCCTTCATCACTTCAGACCCTGTGATGGCAAAAACAGCACTATACAGATTTTCATGCATCAAGAGCTCCCCCTTGATAAGCTCTGGCATGACTGGATAATGTGGTCTGTATCCCTGGTTTGCCCCAATCCCCATCTTTCTGTCACATGGAATTGCATAATGCATGAAGGTTTTTTCCCAAGGTTTAACAGACAGCAGAAAACAAACTTGGAACAGAACCTCTTGTTTCGTCTTTCCCTCCTCCTTCCTTTCTTTTTTGGCTGCCCTAACACTTCTTTTTCATTTTCTTTTCTTTCATTTCGCCATTTCTCTACCTTCGATGTTGTAGTTTGTATTTGGTGCGTTTTGAACTCGTTCTGTCTCTGCGTCTCTCCTCTCAAAGAGCGCCCTCGCGGTGCCTTCTCACACAGTTTGAGAGGCTTATATTTAGCAGCATTAGAACGGAACTCTCAAGGGCAAAGGTATTTAGCATTATGTCTCTGACCCACATAAAAAAGGTGGAGAAATAAACCTCCGCATTCAAAACTTCATTCATTTGCTGCACCCTTGTGTGTGAGTGTGTGTGTGTGTGTCCACGTGCTGTGAAAGCTCACACCAAGCCTGCAATTACCACTGGATGGATTGCAGTGTGATATCAACATGTGCACATAAGGTCTCCATTCACTCAAATACACTCAAATACACACACACATGCACATAATTAGCAAATGGTTCAAATAGCACTTCACCTTGCTCTTTTAGCTTTGAGTGATGATTAAAATGAGTGCTGAAATGTCACCTGTAATGCATTTGCTACATGTATTGCACACGCGGGATGCTACACGCTCTGCACTGAATACTGTGTGTGTAAAAACAGAATTATCTGCAGTTGTGGAAAGTCATAGAGATCGCCTGCGGCTACTCTGACTAGTACTTAGATCCGAGCACACACACACACGCACGCCGTTTTCTATCTTCACACACAAAAATGATTTTCAGTGGCCGCGGAGGAGATGTGTGCCGTCATCCTCCCACACACTTACCTTCACTGATGCACTGAAACCTACAGCATTTTTACAAAGTACCACACAAGTGCCTTTATTTCACTCACCCTCTCACTTCCTCTCTGTGTGTTCCTTTAGCATTGTGCAGCATTAATGTACCGCACACACTCACACACAATCTGGTGTGTGTGTGTGTGTGCGTGCTATTCAGTTCTTACAGGTTGTTTGAGATTAACAAGATTTGCACTGCTTTTCAGCACCGTCAGCCTCAGACTTTTGGGTCAGAGAGATGGAGTGGACTCTGTTTTAACCAGTGCAAATCAAATTTTCACCAAGGCTAATGTGTGCTATTAGCTATTGCTTACCATTTTTTCTAACAAAAATATGTGAAGGACTTGATGGAAAAACAAATGGAAAATAAATAATTATATTATGAAAAAAAAAACCCCTCATGGAGCTTTTGATTGTAGTCCAGTGCCTTAGTCATTCAATCACCCTTGCTTGGGTGAGATTGCAGAAAACCATAATGGAAGCCAAAATGTATTCCAGGGTGAAAAAACAAGCTTAAATAAACAGATAAAAAGAAAAAGCAAGGCTTAATTTTAAAAAAGTAAAAATTCATGGTCACACACCAGTGCAGAGGTCTGACAGATGTGTTGAATAGACCTGCTTAATCTTAAAACAGCTGAAAACTCTAAATATTTTATTTGTCTTAATTCTTCGCAGCATAGTCTGAACAAAGCGCCGGAGACATTCCTCAGAGACTTTGGTTCATAATGACACAATAGCATCACACAGTTGCAGAGCTGAGGCCAGTGAACTCGCTGTCGTGTTCAAGAAATCAGTTTGAGATGATGTGAGCTTCGTGACATGCTGTGTAATCCTGCTGGTTAACATGGCAGTTACTGTTGCCTTTCTATCAGCTCAAATTAATCTGGCCATTCACCTCTCATAGCAACATGGCATTTTCACTCAGAGAACTTTTTTTTCCAGACCATTCCCCATAAACCTCACAAAATATTTGTGTGGGAAAATCCCAGTAGATCATCAATTTCTGAAATATTCAGACCAACCAGTCTGGCACCCATAACCATCACCCGCTCGTAGTCGCCCTTTAACCCCCAGTTCTGATGCTCTATTTGAACTTCAGCAGGTCGTCTCGACCATGTCCACACGTCTAAATGCATTGAGTTTCTACTATATGATTGGCTGATTAGATGACAGTCAGTTGAAGAGGTGTACCTAATAAAGTACTGGGTGAGTGTATGTTGCTCCAGTAGATCAGTAGAAAAGTACAGAGCCATTTCCAGGAGCGTGTACTGAAGGGTAGGGTACACATTCTGTGAAATGTTAATGGTGAGATGAATTATATAATGTTCAGCATATTGCCAGTAAGAGGAGATTTAAACGAAATTTGGATTCCTGAGTCATGCCTCTGACACTGTCTGACCTCACATATCTCTGTAGATGAAGACAAATGTATTCTGCTGAGCAGGTCCTCACTTCACTTCAGCTGAGTTGTTTAGTTAAAGTGTATTATATTAAGCATGTAGCACTTAGAAATGTGATGTGAACATCATTTCAGAACTTTATATCACTTTGAATGGTGACGTCCTCGTCTGAACAGAATTTGGCTTTATATGTGATACAAAATACAATACAATTTATATAAAACATTACATTTTAATTTGTAAAAGACATGTAAGGTATGACTTTACTAATCATGTCGAAAATATATTTTAATGCTCATTAACTTATTTAGCAGAGCTCTGCAACCTCGCCTGAAATCCATTATTACATAATTGCCAGCCTTACATATCAATGCATATGCTTTCCTGAAAACAAAGAGCTTTGCACTTTGCCATCACATTCTTGAGAGAGCCTTTTCACGCACGTTGATGCATCTCATGATGTTTTCTTTCTCTCTTTTCTTTCTCTTTCTTATCTCCTCATTATGCAGATAATTGAAGAAGTTATGCAACACAAGTGGCATAATTTTTGGATTAGAAAGTAGGATGAAAACTCTGAATCTAAGAAGACTAATGCATTTCTTTGTTACATTACAGACATATTTAATCTCATTACAGTAGTGCACTATTTTGTTTTGCTGCTTAAATGCTGTGTCAGCCAGAGGAGCACCTGCCCTGAGTGTCAGTGCAACACATGCCTTATCTTAGAGAGAACTAAACTAAACACATTCCTGCATGTGACAGATTCATTGAAAGGTTGTGCAAAGTTATGCAAAGACATTTCTAGGAGCACTCAAGCTATTTCACTGTTTATCAAAGGGAGTATCTCTCATCTCACAAAAACTGCAGTAAAATGTCTTCAGTGACTCTGGAAGGAGTGTTGTGTAGTCAAAAAATTTAAATCTGGGGCTTTCACTTGGGTTATTCTAATAAATAAATGGACTCTAATGGAACAAAAAAAAACTTCCTATATTCATTATAGAAAGTGTAGGTGTCAGCATTTCTGGAGATTCAGTCACACTAAGGGCTAGATGTCAGAATATCTCAGTCCTCATTTAATGGAGGGACTAAACGTAAATCTCCAGAGTTCTGTTTTAAATATTTTAACTTGGGCAAGACAAAGCAGCAAGTGTACATGAAAAGAGAGAGCAGGAAAAAAGAAGAGGGCCTAAAGGGAAAAAAGAAAAATCTGCACAATTTCTGGTGAATTTGAAAATAATCTTGAGCTATCAAAGATAGAATCCACACACACACGAGATATGGATACTTTGTTAAAACAAGTGTTTGCACGGTCACTTGAAAGAGCTAGTCCATGTTGTGTTTGTAGCTAAAAGTCTGAGTCAAATTTGAGGGAAAAGTTAGCTAAATGTCTGCCTTTTTCATTGTTACTAAAGAAAGACTTGTGGGATGGAGCGTTATCTTCCAGAAAAAGAGAACACAGATGCTCTGACTTTTAAAAAAGCCGCTTCCCTTCTCCAGGCAAAATCACACCACTCTGCTCCCACTCTGTACCCCGACGCTTGGTGCCTGCAAGCATTAGAGCACACGCTAGGCTCCACCTGTGCATCTGTGATATGCATGTCAACTTTGGATGATTCCTAAACTGGTGGTAAAGTCTCACACAACCTAAATATCACTTACACACAATAATGTGCAAGTGATACATAAGTAAAACAGGCCAACTAATGATATATGTAAGTTTATAAAGTATGTGTGAAGGATATTTTTTATGTGTGCACTGCCCTAATATGTGTTTCCTACTGCCAATTAATTGTAGGGCATCAAAGAAGTAGTCCCTAAGAGACAGAAGTCATGGATGCACAGCTTTGATGAGGATGTGAATGTTTCATTATTAATGATATTCAAATCTACTGATGAGAAACTGTGCATGCTGTGATTAACTTGGAGTAATTACATGAATTATAGCCACTATAAACTGATTGAGTGCCAATAAAAAATGATAAATTCCTAAAGATAATTACTAAAAGAAAGCACTTTAACACTGATTGGTCTGATCTGCTGTATTATGACTGACAGTATTCAATTCTACTCAGTTACTGAAGATGCTTCTATATGCATATTGAAGTAACAGGTGAAAATAATGAAACTGTGCCTTGCAGACCTAAATAAGTCAGACCACTCAGAGGTGATGTTTTATTCTGTTTTAATGCAATGTGGAAATAAGGACAGACTTTCTGCACACTGTAGCTATCTCTGACTGCTCTGTGGAGGACAAATATAGTGCCCGTTGCCATGGTTATTACAGAGAACGCAACCACACAAACTGAGCTGCGAGTCCACGAGGACGCACACCTACGCATCGCTACCCTGTTTTAATCCATAAACACCACGTGTAGATGAGGAGGTACTGTCCATGTGCGTGTTTATTTCACATGCTGTGGGTGAATGTTGTGTGCATGACTGTCACGTATATTCATGTAAGATATGTGTGCGTGTGTGCGGGATAATCACATGTGGAAGTATCTTTTTTTAAATTTAAGTTGAAAACAGACTCACCGTCACAGTGGGTATAGCGGTGACGAGAGAGTAGACGAGGACAGGTGGAGCCTTGCTGTTTTCTTCTGGTCCTGGGTACGGCTTGGAGTAAGCTTTGTCAAAGCAGAAGAAGCCCTGGATGTGCACAGGGAACGTGTCTGTGTACTCAAAGTAGTACGCCAACAGAACGGTCCCTGCCATGATGACCAGCTGAAAATAAAACATATTGGTTCCAGCTTTAGGATTGGATCCACAGGAGAGTGTAGGAGTTGGGAAAGAGAAGACAGCCGTAAAGAAGAGAAGTGGAAAATACTGTTGCGGGTTTTTTTTTTTTTTTTTTTTAAAGAAAAGGGGAAAAAAATAAGAGATTTTTCCTCCACAGAGCAAAATGATGGATGCTTCCGTAATGTGTAAAATGAATCAAGTGTGCATGGAGAGATAGCGAGGGAGGAGGATGACAGGGAGGGAGGAAAGGAGGGAGAGTGAGGGAGGGAGGTAAAGATAGAGACGGAGGGAGGCAAATAAGGAGAAAGACAGATAGAGAGAAGAATGAGAGCAATGAGGGAGACAGAGTGTGAGAGAGAGAGAGAGATCCCTTCAGCTGTGTCAGTATGCTGAGTGGGAGGGTAAAGAAACAAATGGAGAGCGATCAAAGAAAAAAAAAAGCTGTATGGAGGAACAGAAGAAGAGCTGAAGAAGGGCAGGAGAGAGAGTGGAGGGTGAGACACAGAGAGGTGAAAAAGAGCAGAACAGTGAGGAAGGAGCAGGCAACAGGGAAAGGAAGAACCCGGGCAAGAGCAGAGAGTATGAGAACAAGCAGAATCATAACCAGGGTACATGAGTCTGGATCTCTGCATAACTTTGTGCTATTCTGACATTTATAAAATATCAGATTTATGCAAAGCAGGAGCTGTGAAGCATAAAATATGACCTTCATTGCTGTTAAAACATAAATAATAAATAAGCATTTCAAAGCAGATTGTATGTATGTGAGGGAGAAGACAGGAAGAGGCGATGATAAACATAGAACACATCAAAAAATGCGAGATATTCTCCCAAGATGAGACAGATGCACAAGTTCTAATTATTCATTTATACTCCAGTAAACAGCACACAGACGCTCTTTGCAGGAAAAAAAAAAGTGACTGCAGTGCGAGCTCCTGTAAATCTGCAACTGAAAACTGGAGGTTTGTGCAATATTAGCTTGCCCTCGCAGATCGGCCCGAAACAAAAAAAAAAACCACTGCAAATGAAAAAGGAAAATGTGAGTTTAAATATAGAGAGCTGCTGATTAGTTTCCTCTTAAGCTGCAGCCTAAATGCTTGCTAGATGGACTTGCATTGTATGCGAAGGACAAATTTATCAGCAGCAAAACATGAGGAGCCTCTGCTGGCAGGCTGAGCTGGTTTGCAGCTTCAGGGACAGTGAGACAAGGAGCAAAGTGTAGCAGTTTTCGTGGCTGTCACTAACAATTTCTTATTTTACTTGAAGAAAGTTTTACTATTTAGCATTTGCACATTAACAAAATATAAATGAACAAATTAATCATGTGATGAGATCCTTGTTTTTCAACCACAACAACAGAGTACTACATCATAAGTCAAAGCAGATCTTCAGAAAGGACCCCAGCTGAGAGATAATAATTATTACAGCTTATTAATGATTTCCTAGGTTTGTTTGTTTTTGATTATGTGCTGGACTTCAGAGTTTTCCAGTTGGTTACATTTCAGTTATGCTGCCTCAACTATGTCTTGTTAAGTCTCTATGTGTGCTTGGTGTTTAGTTACTTCCTGTTTTTTTTTTTGTTTGTTTGTTTGTTTTTCTAGTCTTGTGGACCCCAGTGGGACGTTATCACTTTTTCTTCCCCTTGTGTTTTTTTTTTCTATTCAATTAACCCATGTCTTGTTTCCCCCCGCTGTGTCCTCTATTCCTGTTACCTTGTCTGTATTTGTTTTGGGGTAGGAGTAGTTTTAATGTTTCATTCTGTGTTTTTTAGTGGTTTAGTTTATACCATGTTTTTTGTATACATTTTGCATGCATGCTTTTATGTTGAAGTTTTTCTTTTACTTCCTACCCACACCTTAATCAAAACAAATTATCTGCACCTGCTAGTGCTGCATAAAAGATGGGAGGTGAGGGCAGTCAGACAGAGGAGGCACAGAGCATATGCAGGGGTGGCACAAGCATGAAGATGGCAGAGCTTCACAAGAGCAACAGGATGCATTGGCCAGATGGATGCCAATGAGATTGGCCCTGGAATTGTCTGTGGAACTGGTGCTGGATGTTGTGGAGGAGTTGGAACCAGTAAGAAGGCCTTTCCCAGTGTGATACGACTGGTGAAGAGTGACTTCTGTGATGTTTGGTGCTAGAGCATGTGTTTCAAGACTGCTGCGTGTCGTCTGTATAAGTGGGACATCTAGCTCGCCGTTGGTTTTTTCATTTTTTGAAATGCTCTACTCTTGTGTTATTGTAAATAAATCATGTTAACTGCTACACTTGAGTTTTGTACTCCTTGGCTAACACTGCCCTCATATTTTTAGCTGCTCTCCACCTGATGGAAAAAGACCTCCCCTCATTACATATTTAAGCTTTCAGCTTTCTCATGTTCCTTGTTGTGTCGAACTGGTGAGTTTCACTGTGTTTCTTCATTACATCTCTGTTTGGATTACTGGACTTTTCCCATGTTTGTCTTTTATTGCAGCATAAAACATGTTACAAAGCTCAGTTTTCTAGCTTACCATGAGATCTACTACCAGAGGTTTTAAATGCACGCAAGTGATCAAATGGAGCACAATCATTTGGTGTGCTTAAAAGAAAAATGGCACGCCTTCTTTCATTCATCTATCGTGTATTGTTAATGAACAAAATGGGGTCTGGGTACATTATTACACGATACCTTATGTTGCCGTAATAGTAAACTGCTGAACTGCTGTCATACTAATGATATCAACAGTGTAGGTTTAAAAGAAAATCAGGCAGGAAGCCCAAATCTCAAATGTATTTATTTATTATGGAGATAGTCCATAATAAATGGGGTTTTATGGAGCTCCAGTAAATGTAGTCTTTCCTGAAGTTGAAATGCAGCCAAATTTGGTGCAATGGGATTACTAAGTGAACAGGCTCTCTGCCATTTCAAGAAAAGCAGTTTCATTAAAACTTATACTTCATGTAGTTCATATATATTTCATCTTCACGATCCTTGCAGCTCAGACAAAAGGAGAAACTCACATGAAGTATGACTTTCACACAAGTGTAACATGTAGACAGGATGCTGTGGTGGACAGATGGGTTGACAAAATACTGGATTTTACACAAAGTCCTTTATTTTTACTTTCTGATTCGCTTATTTAGTTTTACGTCACATAAACATAAACCCTAAAAGCTGAAAATTGATACTTAGCACTACTCACTGCATTTCAGTGAAGCATCATGAAATCCTCATCAAAGTTGGAAGTGCAATGTGCTTCACTGTTGATATAACCCCATGCATCGTGCCACAGACACTGGGCACCTTGCACATGTCTTTGAGAAGTTAGTCACTTGTAAATGTGCTGGCTGTAACAACATCTTGGAGACCAGTTAATGAGTGCTGTGGATTCCCGCAGTCTCAGCTGACTGTTGAGCAAACTCGCTGTTGTGTAAAGACTTCAGGGAGTCACCTGGCAAGGCAAACATGCCATCTACAAAACTCTTGCTTTTACTTCCTGCATATAATGTAACTTCAACTACACACAGAGCAAAAGATGCTTAACATGTTGAGTGCTTTTAACCGAAAGCTTCTAAAATGCTATTTTAGTTTATGCGATAATGTCAAGCAGACTTGCATTTATTCATCTGATATGAAGAGATGTGCTGGAGGAGCTTCATCTTCCTTTACAGCACCAAAAGAGAAAGGTTTCACAGTGGCAGATGGCTGGAAAAGTGACATAACACTGAGAAACGTCCTCCAACACGTTTATGCTCTTCAGAAAACAGAGAGCCCACACGGATTAATGCTATGGGAAGGGGAGGCTTGTTATGTGTTAGATACTATTCTGCTTTATTACACAGAAAGGAGCACTGAAGATGGGATGGAGAGGGTGACCTAATTTAAACATTCATTACACGCCCAGCTCTGCTGTCTGATCTGCAAGTCTACACGTTTCTCTTCAGTGTTTTTGTAAACAGTTATTGAATTTCAATGAATGGATTCCCTTCATGAGCAACAAGATCAAATAATTGATCTGTTCCCCGTGGCAATAGGCAGAAGTAATCTACATAACTCTGTTTATGGGAGACGTTTCACTGAGGGTCCCAAAGGAAGAGAGCATCATCATGTAGGCCATTTGAGCGAAATCTTTAAAACACACACACGTACAGGCACCCACAGCCTGTAGTTTATATATAGACCAATAATATCAAGCAACTCATTCTTCCATGGTTTTTTTTCCCCATTTTTGTTTCCCTTTACATGAGCTTTGTGTGTGTGTTTGTGTTTCAGTATGTGGGTGTGTTTCCGTGAGTGTCTGTGGGCATGTGGGTGCATTCCCATGCCTGAGCAGGAACTCTGACACAGATACGCTGTGTTGAACATTTCTTTCCATCATCCATTTCTCTCTTCTGCCCGAGCAACAGAAGGCTTGAGGCAGGGAGGTGTAGCTAGTGGGAGAAAGAGAGCGAGGGAGGTCTGCGAACAACCATCAAAGTTTAAAAAACGTTTGAAAACAACCGCAGAAAACCTCCCTGGGAGATTACGCGTCATTTTGGTATCTACTTTTGCTCTACGCAACCATCAGTGCTTGTGTACTATATGTCCCATCAGACTTATACATCTTGTACTATAAGAATTAAGCATCACGTTTGCTTGTAGTCAGAACATTCAAAGCCGGGTAATTTTCAC